CATACATATTAATAAAATGAGTATCGAAAAATTCAAAAGGTCATTTGAAATCGCTAATGTGTTCAAATTCTCATTTATGCTCATTTCGTTTAAGCTTTATGCTCATTTGGTATGTGAGAGCGATGATGCAAAGGTTGGATTGATCTGTCAGGTCAATATCACCAAAATATAATCTATACACAGCATCAACGTTGTCATCTAGAATCTCTGCAGCATCGGAGATGGAAGAATGGCGACGGATCAGAAACGTCTGAAATTTGACGGATTGGAGCGTCGGCGATTGAGCAACCCAACTGAGACTCCAACAAATTAGGTTGTATCAAGATGGAATCTGCTTCTAATCTACATTCATGTAAAAACTCTTCGAGCAAGGATGTCTATGGAAAAAGGTTTAAAATCGGATGTACCATATAATTTGCAGTGTTTGGCACGGAAATTTCTGGGTTGGCTGTGGGGCGCCAGCTGGGTAGATGATTCCACTTTTTGGGTCGTGGAATTAATTATCACAAAAAGTACGTCGTTGACAATCACCAGAAAATATTTCGGAAAAACTTCAAAAAAAAACATGAGAATGGCACCGGCAAACTTATCGGACTTTGATACTGGCAATTCAGAAGTGTGTCATCAATGGCGACACTTGAATCGTCAAACGTAACATTTATGGATTTTCAATTTTGTTAAAATCATTCTTTTATCACTTCTTTGTCACGCAAAATCAAGCCCATAAAAAATCTCTTAAACAAAATACACTGGCATCTTGCTTGATGATCACATATGTATCAGAGAATAAAATTAACAAAATCGAATTCAATCCATTAATACTCATGCTACATAAAAAGATCTAAGAAAAAATCGAAGTTACATCTAGATGCTATAAATCAATCTTCAGAGGCGGATACTATACTATCATCGTCGCCGTTGAATTCTTCTCGGATGGAGAAAATCATCGACTTATGCCTCCGCTGCGCGATGCTGCCGGATGCGGCGGAGACGGTGGCCGGGGAAGAACACGGTGATGGCGATTGGGAGGCGGAGGCGGAGGCGGCGAAAGCCAGACACCCCTCGCTCCAGGAGCGGCGGATGGGGTACGACACGTGGGTGTACTTGGAGGAGGAGGGATGCGAGCATTGGCCACGCGATTTGTGCAACGCGCAGCCGCAGTTCTTGTGGTAGGGGCGGCGCTGGATGCCGGTGTCGTGCCCGGCGATGCTGGCCTCGAACATCCCGCGTAGTAGTCCGTCGCCGGCTGCTCCGGCGGCCATCTCCCCAGCCGCACGCGCTCGCGGCCGCGTCTATTAATCAATAAATTTAAATACCTGTTTCGGGAATTGAATCTCCCGGCCGGCTTGTTCCTCTAACTCTACGAATTTATTTTGTTTTGATTTATGAGTTTTGGAATGAAATATTTTAGGAGAAGAAAGAGGGTTAAATAAGAAAAAGGAGAGAAGATGGGTAAGCTATAAGCGGCGTAGCTGAGCTAAATAAATAGGGCGAAAAAAGGGTGGGGAGGTGGTGGTTATGATGACTGTTTTATTAGCTAAACTGATTTGTCGCCGCCGTCCGCGGGACTTTTAATTAAGGGGAAAAAGGTTTGCCGTTATGCATCAATGGAGTTAATTAATACCCGCTCATACCCAACTGTGTTTTACACACTAATAATTAATTTACTCCGACTAACACTGAGATATAAAGAGCTAACACGATTATTAAAAACAGCCAAAAGGGAATAAAGAAAGAATGATTTAGAATCTCACAAAATTTATCAAATTTGGTATGAAACAATCTTAATACGACTTATCAAAAAGAAAATATGTGACCATTTTAGCGGGACAACTCTTAAGAAATGTTAATAGATAAGTACTTGTTACACCGAAATTAAAAATATTGTCAAGTTGAATTCGATGCGTATTTGGTTTGATCATATATTTCTTGTGCCCTGTTAGGATGTTTTTATTTGGACTGAAATTTGTTGTCCTGATCTGTTGTATTTAAGTTTGTTCTGGTCTAAACTGGCCTGGTAAATGTCTGGTTTCTGTATATTTTATAACTTTGAAAGTATGATCTGGTCTGATATGGTCTGCATACAGTGGCGGATCTTGCAACCGGATATAGGGTGTTCAAAATAATTTTACCTATTGCACAATAATATTGTTTGGTCCACCAATTGAAAAATGTAAGTTTTCCAACATTAAAATCCCAAAGATAAGGTTAAGAGCAAGAAATATTAAATAAAAATAAATATATGAATTATTACATTAATTCTATATATGTATTTTTACATTTTATTTTCAAAATTTTGGGTGTCCACAAGAACACTCTTGAACAAAAGAGGTCCGCCCCTGTCTGCAGGGGTGGAGACAGGGAGGGGCTAGAGGGGGTCTTGGCCCCTGCAACAAAAAAAATTCTTAAGTATATATTATGTATAAATACTTTGAATCTAGAGAAAATATGTTGATATTTTAAACTTTAGCCCCTACAATGTAAAATTCTCAAAGCTCGGTCCCATTAATCTTAAATTTCTGGCTCCGCCACTGCTGGTCTGGAACTGAAATAATCCAATTAAAAACATGCTAATTCATTTTGGGTTATCCAAAAATGAATGTAGTATGTTTTCTTTTTTAAAAGAAATATGTGGTTCATAATCTCATATCATTCCACTTTATTATACTGTCAGAAATGCAATGTCCCTTGCTCCGCATCTCGTTAAAGAGTGCTACTAATTTGAATGAAAAAACAATTAGTGAAAATAAAATTGCCATTGCCAATAATCAACGAAGAAGAAAACGTACTGCATTCATATCATTTTATGTGTCATACTTTGATTTTGTATAATTATTAATAACATAATTGAAAAGGTAAAATATTGTGGCTAAGACTTGAGTATAATATACTTGAGTATAATTATTAGTAAATTAGCACCATTTATTTCTTTCCAAAAAAGAAAGGTTAAACTTATTTTGGGACAAACTACAAAGAGAAATAGACCGGATAAAATGGGACGAAAGGAGTATAAGTTAACTACACTGGTATATTTTAGTTTGAAATTAGTTTGGTTAATAATGAAATTTCTAAAAACGAGTTTGAAATTAGTTTGGTTAATAATGAAATTTCTAAAAACGGATAGAAAACTATTAGGGATATTCTAAATATGTAGTACTTCCTCTGTCCTGCAAAGAAGTTCACGGTTTGATCTACACACATATTAAGAAAATAAATTTATCAGGGGATAAATTTTATTGTTTTGACACTGTTTTACACTGTTTGGCACTGTTTTGATGTAGATAATTTCTCATTTAAGGAAAGGGAAACTTCTTTTTGGAACTGCTAAAAAGGAAAGTGAGAACCTCTTTGCGGGACAGAGGGAGTAATAAATATAGGATGTCTTGCATCTTGTAGTGAGGTGGGTCAATGATTGGGCTTGACCGACTCTATAAGGCGACGAGGCCAGGATCTTCTATGCCATGCTAAGCTAGTAGTTAACGTGTTCAGCACTGGCAATCTGGCATGCTGGCTCAGCTCGTGTCTAAATTGTGAGGTCGGCCTCAAGCGGTGCTGGGCCCAAAATAACAGCCAATAAAATAAATTATTATTATTATTATTATTATTATTATGATTTTGTTTATAACTAAATTGCTTTTCATAAATCTATTGTTACAGCGAGAGCAAAAAACACCGTGATCGTCTTCCCTCTTTGTAAGGGTTAGCTTTTCTGCTGCCCCTATTAATATAGGACTGAAGCGGATTATACTAATTTTAAGTATTCTAACGTATGAGAATGCAACTACGAATGAGGAGATAATATTGGCACATGAGCGTGTTGTGACTGGGAATTTGTATCGATTCTGGATCGTGCAGCTTTGGTCAGCCGCTCCGACGATGATGGAGTTAGTATTCACCCGTATTCTTCCTCTTTAGTAGTACTTATTTTTATTTTAGTCCGAGTATGTTTCATTTGGATGTTTGGTTTTTGGAATTCTTTTGATAGGTAAAGTTTCAGTTCCAGTTATTTTAGGCTTAAATTTGCGTTTAAGGGATCATGTTGATGTGGTTGAGTTTATGTCTACTCTTAGGATTTATAATTGAATCAGTAAAATCTGTCATTGTTTTATACGTGTTCTCTATTTTAATATAAAAGATCAAAAAATGGTGATGATGATGATTGAATAACAAGAGAGTAAGAGACAACATCAAGAGCATTTTCATCCACATAGTTCAAATGGTTTTTTATGGTTTACCAATCACATCACCGTCGCATAATTTTTTTTTATAATCTCAAAATTTATGATCTCCCTTTAATCTTGACCATATTATTTACTTACAATTATTTATGGAACTTGCTATTTTGAAGGTCAATCGTCCGGTTTGTCCCACAAAATTAGAAGACATAATCGTGTTAAAATGTGAACAAAACACATGTGCCATGAGAGATTGATACTTTAAGTTTAGTAACAAGATTTTTGTTTTCATATTTGAACGGTCAAATATATTTTGGACGTTGTCTTCACAATGTTAAGAACAATGTCTAGATTTAGATAATTGTGGTTGACATTATTGAAAAAAGCTTATCAAAAACTCATAAAATTGAGAAAAGGAGAGAGCTAGAAAAGTGGCATGCATGTATTCTTTTATATATATCTCATGTCACATATATATCGTGCACATTGTAGCATTGGAGATAATCTTGAAGTATATTTATTGAGGTTTGGAAAGATGGGAACAATCTTAAATAAACAATGATTTGATATTTGATATCAAATTTTTAGAAATAATTTTTCAATATAATTTGATCTCCTCAATTATATATAATCTCTAAACAGGTCCTTCACATTATTAAAATAATCTTCAAATAAACTAATTAATTATTAAAAGTTTATGTAAGAATTAATGGGAAAGGTACTCCAATAGGAATCCTGGCATGTATATTTATAATAAAGGAGTTTGAAACGTAGCCTCCTCTCTGCAAGAAATCTTCCCGAGCAGGTAAGCAGCGATGACGACGCACTTGAAGAAGAACAGGAAAAAGAGAGGCCATGTGAGCGCCGGCCATGGTCGTATCAGGAAGCACCGGAAGCATCCATCGGGTCGCGGTAATGCCGGAGGAATGCACCACCATCGGATCCTCTTCGACAAGTACCATCCTGGATACTTCGAAAAGGTTGGTATGAGGTATTTCCATAAGCTCCGGAACAAGTTCTACTGCCCTACTCTCAACATCGATAAGCTCTGGTCACTCGTCCCTAAGGAAGTCAGATCCAAAGCTCCCAAGGACAAAGTTCCGATGATTGACGTCACGCAATTCAGATACTTTAAGCTCCTGGGTAACGGCGTGCTCCCGAGCAACCAACCTGTTGTGGTGAAATCCAAGCTTGTGTCGAAGATCACGGAGAAGAAGATCAAGGAGGCAGGTGGGGCGGTTCTTCTCACAACATAGGTAATATCAGGTCGTGTCAAAGTTAAATATTGCAACTTACCAACCATACTTTTATACTCGGTGGCATCTGCAAGAAGTTCCCCATTAGTAAGGGACAGAGAAGTGCGAGTAGCAAGTGGGGTACGAACAGACTTAACAATGTGGAGGCCCAGCCGTTCGTCGGCTTGCTGGTAGAACTTCACCATGGAGGCCCAGCCATCATCCGTGCATCCCTTTGGAGAAGGACAATTAGCGGATGTGATAATTCTTCGGCTGGGGCTCCTCGAAGTCCTCGTCGTGAATGAGCCTCCCAATTTCATGCTCCTTTGTCGAGGTGTCCCCTTCTTGATTGTCGGTGGAGTTCCTCGGGGCACCTTTGACAAATTGGTGGAGTTCACCCCGTTGAATCAAGCGCTCAATGGCTTTCCTCAGCGCGATGCAATCGTCTGTATCGTGAGAGGTGTTCTTGTGGTAACGGCAATAAGTGCCGCCCTGGTGGACGGCGTAGATTTCCTTGACCGACCGGCAATCTCTGGGGATGAGACCTTGCTCCTCCGCACAGTTGAGGATGGTATCCACCAAGTGTGTGAGTGGAGTCCTTGGTACGTCCGTCCTCGGCTGTCATGGGCGCTCCTTCCGGATCTGGTGGGCATGGCCTCTGGCCGAGGATGCGCTTGAAGCTGACGCATTGTTCTTCTTCTTTGATGGCTAGCCTCCATCCTTCTTGCGGGAGTGGAGCTCATCGGCGTCAGCGTACAAGCTCCCTCGTTGGAGTGCCTTGGTGTATGACCTCAGCGGGTCAGTGATGAGGCTCCTCGCGTAGGGGCTGCTGCGGAGAATGCCTTGGAAGAAGACGAGGAGGGTGCGCTCATCGGCACCTCCGACCTCGTCTGTCTCCTTCGTCCATCGGTCGATGAAAGACCAGAGTGATTCATCGTGTTGTTGTTTGATGGAGAGGAGATAGGAGAAATGTTTCTTCATGCGCTTCCTTCCGGCGAAGTGGGTGAGGAAGCGTTGGGCAAGATCTTGCCATGAGTCCACGCTTCCTTTAGGCAGCGCGTTGAACCACTCGTATGTTGGTCCCTCAAAAGTGGAAAGAAACCAACGATAGAGGTACTCATCAGATGCATTTACCATCAGCATGTTGTTCTCATAGCGGCTGAAATGCTCCTGGGGGTCGGTGCGACCGTCATAAGGCTTGATGGCACTCCCACGGTACTTCTCGGGTATTGGGGCCGAGAGCACCCTTGTGGTGAAGGGAGTTTTTGTTCTGATATGGATGACGGGGTCACCATGTCCGTCAGCTAGTTCCCGCTCCAGGGTGCTGACCTTGTGCAAGAGGTCGTTGAGGGCGAGGTCCCTGGATGCATCGGCCGTACGTGCCTCGGCCATTTGCTATGCTTCCATCTGAGTGAGCCTCCTTTCAAGTTGGGCGATGACCTCGTCCCGGTGGTCTTTGGCGGCCATAGTGGCAACGTGCATCCCCACGTGGGCTGCATGGGCTGTGTTGATGTGGGGACATGTGTCGTCCTCATGTAGTTTGCCCTTGCCTTTTTCAAGGCGGGGCCGATCCGATGTCCGGGATACAGACCCAAGCTTAACGGCAACACTCAAGACGCCCGCATCGGCTTTGAGAAGAAACACATCGAGAGAGACGATAACGCCTCGGGGCAACAGATTACTCCCGCTGTTGATCCTCAACTCCAGGTCGCTCTATCGGCCATCATGGCCAGCCTGGCTAAGAACCCCACCGTCCTTTGCGCACTGATGTCAAGGACGGGGGAGAACACTACTCCACCGCCTCCTCCTCCTCACCCGTTGGTCATGAACGTCGGCAAGGAGGAGGGGGTCGTGGCCCAGGAAACGGCATCCCATTCTGATCCTGTTTCCCCTTGTCGAGTTGGACCGACCCCAGTGCGTAGAGCCTCGGCCTTCAATAGGCTAGGGGACGCGCATCGTCGACTAGCCTCGGAGAGGCTAGCGGAACCGATTGGTGAACGTGAGCCTGGCTCACCAAGGGAGAGATTGGGGTCCGTATCCCGGACAGCGGATCGGCCCCGCCTTGACAAAGGAAAGGGCAAGCTACATGAGGACAACGCACGTCGCCACATCAACACGGCCCATGCAGCTCGCGTGGGGACGCACGTTGCCATTACGGCCGCCAAAGACCCCCGGGACGAGGTCATCGCCCAACTTGAAAGGAGGCATGCTCAGATGGAAGCAAAGCAAATGGCCGAGGCACGTACGGCCGCTGCATCCAGCGTACGAGTGGTTCAACGCGCTGCTCGAAGGAAGCGTGGACTCATGGAAAGATCTTGCCCAACGCTTCCTCACCCACTTCACTAGAAGGAAGCGCATGAAGAAACATTTCTCCCATCTCCTCTCCATCAAACAGCACCACAATGAATCACTCCGGTCTTTCATCGACCGATGGATGAAGGAGACAGACGAGGTCGAAGGTGTCGATGAGCGCACCATCCTCGTCCTCTTCCAAGACGAACAATGCGTCGGCTCCAAGCGTATCCTCGGCCGGAGGCCATGCCCACCAGAGCCGGAAGAAGCGTCCATGACAGCCGAGGACGAACGTACCAAGGACTCCACTCACACACTCGGTGGATACTATTCTCAACTGTGCGGACGAACAAGGTCTCATCCCAAGAGATCACCGGTCGGCCAAGGAAATCTATGTCGTCCACCAGGGCGGTACTTATTGTCGTTACCACAAGAACACCTCCCACGATACAGACGACTGCATCGCACTGAAGAAAGCCATTGAGTGCTTGATTCGACGGAGTGAACTCCACCAATTTGTCAAAGGTGCCCCGAGGAACTCCACCAGCAATCAGGAAGGGGACACCTCGACGAAGGAGAATGAAATTGGGAGGCTTAGTGACGACGAGGACTTCGAGGAGCCCCAGCCGAAGAAGCGTCACATCCGCTGATCGTCCTTCTCCAAAGGGACGCGCGGCCGATGGCTGGGCCTCCATGGTGAAGTTCTACCAGCAAGCGAATGAACGGATGAGCCAGCAAGCCGGCGGACGACTGAGCCAGCAAGCCGGCGGACGACTGAGCCAGCAAGCCGACGGATGGCTTATCCCTCAAAATACGAAGGGCCCTACATATCGGTGAAGTTCTATCAGCAATCCGAAGAGGGTGCAGACGGCATAGCCCCCACCCCAAGGTCAGAAGCTCATTGAGAATCTAACTCCTATACGGGTTGTTGAGAAGGTTACCACCCTCGGCCTCGAGCCACTGACCTTAATAAAAGTTGTTGCCATGAACAACGCACCTATTGTGTTCTGTTTATTTCTTGTAAAGTTTAAGTAAAGGATGCCACACAACTAAGCACATCGCATCGGCCCCTTCGAGCGAAATGCTCAAGTATGGCCGACGACGCCACACAACAAAGAACGTTGTTTCAGCCCCTTAGAGCGAAACACTCGGGTATGGCCGACGATGTCCCAGGACAAGGGACCTGCAAAATGACCCGCGTCTTGAAACGGGATGCTCACTGCGTCGTCCTCGCGTTAAACCGCACGGCGACAGGGATGAAAGAATGGTCGAGGTGACAAAATCCCCAAACATGGGGTTGGGAAACAACAGCCATCAGTAACCGACCAAAAGCCTAGCTCGCGCCGTAAATAGACGACGGGGTCCCCCAAGATCAAGGGATGATCCAGTGCCAGAGGCCGGACAACTGCCCTCCTGGACTCCCTATCAACCGAGAGAATAGCAACCCCCTCGGCCGAGCCTGAAAGAAGGATCCCCCACTCCTCGCTCAAAGAAGTAAAGAGGAAGAAATAAAAGAGGGAAAGCCGAAGGACAGTGCACTCGCCGGCCTCGAGCGAAATCCCCACAATTAAAAGAGGGACAGCCAAAGGACCGTGCACTCGCCAACCTCGAGCGAAATCCTCACAAATCAAAAGAGGGAAGCCGAGGACCGTGCACTCGGCGGCCTCAAGCAATAAAAATAAAATCCCCACAAATCAAGACACATATTTGGATAAGTACATATCAGGCAAATACTATGCATTGTGGACGAAGTAAGACCATACATTCGGATTAGACGGACACCAACGTCTTGTCCTTCACCAAAGGACGAGCGTCGCCAGCGCTGCCCCTCACCATGGCACGAGCGTCCAACGTCGTCCAACATAAAACCAGGGTAAATGCCTGGTCCTTCGTATGACGTACGACGTCATCAACGCCTTCGTCATCAAAGGACGAGCGTCTCCATCGCCGTCCTCCATCTTTAGGCCAACTTCAAAGCTTGGCCTATCACATGACGTACGGCTTCATCAATGCCATCGTCATCAAGGGACGTGCATCGATCGCCGCCCTTCATCTTCAAACCATGGTTAAAACTTGGTCCTCAATATGACGTACGGCTTCATCAACTCCAGCATCATCAAGGGACGCGCGTCCAACGCCGCCTTTCATCTTCAAACCAGGGTCAAAACCTGGTCCTCAATATGACGTACGGATTCATCAACGCCATTGTCATCAACGGACGTGCGTCCAACGCCGCCCTTCATCTTCAAACCAGGGTCAAAACCCGGTCCTCATAATGACGTGCGGCTTCATCAACGCTAGCGTCATCAAGGGACGTGCGTCCAACGCCGCCTTTCATCTTCAAACCAGGGGCAAAATCTGGTCCTCAATGTGACGAACAGCTTCATCAGCGCCATCGTCACCAAGGGACGTGCGTCCAACGCCGCCCTGTATCTTCAAACCAGGGCCAAAACCAGGTCCTTCATATGACGTACAGCATCATCATCGCCATCGTCATCAAGGGACGTGCTTCCATCGACGCCCTTCATCTTCAAACCAGGGTCAAAACCTGGTCCTCAATATGACGTGCGGCTTCCTCAACGCCAGCGTTTCAAGGGACGTGCGTC